TTGTCTGAGGTATCATTGGCAAATGTGTTTTCCCATACAGTTGGTTGTCTTTTTAATTTAATACTGGGAAGCATTTAATCTGCCCTTCCACTCTAAATGATAGCTTTGCTGGATAGAGTAACCTTGGATGTAGGTGCTTGCCTTTTATGACTATGAATACTTCTTTCCAGCTCCTTCTTGCCTGCTAGGTTTCCTTTGAGAAATCAGCTGATAGTCTTATGGGCACTCCTTTGTAAATAATTGTCTCCTTTTCTCTTGCTGATTTTAAGATTCTCTCCTTCTCTTTAATCTTGGCTAATGTAATTATGTGCCTTGGTGTGCTCTTCCTTGGGTCCAACTTCTTTGGGATTGTCTGAGCTTCCAGGACTTTCTGAAAGTCTATTTCCTTTGCCAGATTGGGGAAGTTCTCTTTCATATTTGTTCAAATAAGTTTTCAATTTCTTGCTCTTTCTCTTTTCCTTCTGGCACCCCTATTCGGATGTTGGTACGTTTAAAGATGTCCTGGAGGTTCCTAGGCCTCTCCTCATTTTTTTAAATTCTTGTTTCTTCCTTTTGTTCTGGTTGAAAGTTTATTTCTTCCTTCTGCTCCAAATTGTTGATTTCAGTCTCAGTTTTCTTCCCTTCCCTTCCCAATATACAGTTTTTGTTCCCTGTATATTTTTCTTTATTTCACTTTGCATAGCCTTCATTTCTTCCTTCATTTTGTGACTGTACTCAATCATTTCTGTGAGCATCCTGATTACCAGTGTTTTCAACTCTGCATCTGATAGGTTGGCTATGTCCTCATCACTTAGTTTTTTTTCTGGAGTTTTGATCTATTCTTTCATTTGGGCCATGTTTCTCTGTCTCAGGCCACCTTTTATGTTTTAAGGGGCAGAGCCTTAGATATTCACCACAGCAGGGCAATCCACTTTGCTGCATTGTGGCGTAGTCTGGATGAATGTTTCTTCTTTAACTCCTTGGTTGTTGAACTTCCATATGGTTCAGTTTTTCTGGCAATTCTAGTTGTTTTTTGTTTTTAAATTTGTTGTTGTCCTTCTTTTGGTTGTGCAAGGAAGCAAAGCATATTTGCCTACACCTCCATCTTGGCCAGAATTCTAAAACTTATTTTTAAAGACCAGCATTATTTTTCTATCAAAACTAGTCAAGGTAAGTACAGGAAAAGAAACATCCATACAAATATCTCTCCTAAAAATAAACATAAAAATTTTTAACAAAATATGAAGCATGTCAAATACAATAATATTTTAAAAAGACAATGCACCATAACTAACAGATTTTTCCAAAAATGCAAGGCTGGTTTAATATCCAAAAATCAATTACTTTAAGTCATCACATTAACAGAATAAAGAAAAATGTCGTAAAAATCATCTCAATAGCAGAAAAAGATAGATTTAATAAAAATAAAATACACTCTTATTGTAAAAAGTATCAGCAATTTAAGAATAAAAAAATTCCACTCAAACCAATAAAAGATATGTAAAGAAAAAAGTTGCTAATATAATAATGGTGAATTATGAACATTTTTCCCCTCTGATACTGGGAACAAGGTAAGAATATCTGCTTCTATCACTTCTACTCGGCATTTTACTGAAATTCTAGTCAGTATGATAAGGGTATGCAAAAAATAAAATTGGGAAAGAAATAAAACAGCCTATAATTTAAATTACATGATTTTTTTCATAGAAAAATCATGACTCTACAAAATATTTACCAGAATTGATAAGAGTATTCAGCAAAATACTAATTCAAAATTAATATCCAAAAATCCATTGCATTCTCCTATACAAGCAATAAAAATGGAAATTGCAATACAAGGACCACTTACAAAAATATCAAATATATTAAAATACATAGGGATAGATATAAATAAATATGTGAAAAAGCCTCTACATTGAAAACTACTAATGTTACTGAGAAAAATTAAGAATAAATGAAGAATGCTATGTTGTTTATAGATTGAAGGACACATAATATTGATAAATTTTAATTATCCTTTATTTATTTTATAATTTTTACACAATCCCAACTAAAATTTCATCAGGATTTTTGTAGCAATTGACAATTTGATTCTATATATATATATATATATATGGAAATTAATAGAATCCAGAATACCCAAAACAATATTGAAAAAGAGCTAAGTTGGACTCACATCACCTGATCTCATGACTTACTATAAAAACAACAGTAGACAACACAACATTCTATTGGTATAAAAGTATGTCAGGAGAACAGAAGAGAAAGTATAGAATTAAACTGCCACATATTTTTTAAATATTTTATTTATTTATTGTTAGAGGGGAAGAGAAGGAGAGAAGGAGAGAAATATCAACGTATGGTTGCCTCTTGTGAGTCCTCTGCTGGGAACTGGCCTGCAACCCAGGCATGTGCCCTGACTGGGAATCGAACTGCGATCGTGTGGGCTGGGTCATTTCCTGAGTCTGCCTGTTTCTTTGGCCCCTTCACTGCCTCCCATATGATCCCTTAAATTGCTCAAGGAATTCTTGCCTGGGGTCCCCAAGCCCCATTGACTGACTACCAGCCTCCTCCATTACTGCTTTCCTGCTTCTTCTTTTACATTTCGCTCAGCCCAAAAATGTTCTTTGCCCCAATATAAATAATATTGAGTGCAGCAGCAAAGAAAATGACAAATGACCTGGGTAAAAAAGACAGTCTGCAAAATGAAACAACCTTGACCCCACATCTCCTCCACAGTTACTACATTATTTCTCTGGTCCCCTTATCAGCAAAACTCTCAAATTGCTCTTACTCACGTTCTATTTCCTCTCCTCCTATTCTTTCTTGAAACAGCATTCAGCCTTTCATCTCCACTACTGCACCAAACTGCTCTTGTCAAAGCCATCAATGTCATTCATATTGCCCAGTTCAATGATCAGGTTGTCGACACCCACAGCCATATTTGCACCACTCATCACTGTCTTATTTGTCACGTCTTCTTCACTTGGCCTTGGGATGGAATTCTCTCTCAACATTCTCCTCCACCTCACTAGCTGTTCTCTGCTTTGCGAGTTCTTCCTTCCCTAACCGACCTTTAAACAGAGAAGCGCTCCAAGGCCCAGTTCTCCGACTTGTTCAACCTGTCCCCGCTCCCCAGGTGAGCCCACCCTGCCTTTCAAAAGAACATATTGTTAGGAAATAAATGATGGCAAGTTAAACGTGTGCAGGAGTTTGTGGTGACTCACAACCCAAGGAAGGAAACTTAACTCCTACTCTAAATGGCAAGGGCACAAAATAAACCAGTAAGTCATGTTAAAGAGCTAACAATGTAGTTCCCTCCAAACTTTAGAGTTTTTGCTAATTTCACTAAAAGCAGTTAAAAAGATGAATCAGGCAAAAATCATACCCCCCAGAAGTGTATAGTCTGCTGGAGGATGGGGGGTGGGGTGGGGAGAGGATGAAAAATAGTTACAAAGTAGGAACAAAATGGTGTCACCAGAGAAAATCAGTTATGGGAGGTCAGATAAGCAGAACAGCTTTTAAAGCTCTATGAAACTGTATTATTTCTGATTATTCTACTGCATGCTTTCAAAATAACTACATTTTCTAATTGCCTCTATTATCGAATTGAAAATTCTGAAGTGTTTTTGCCCCTTATTCATGCTATTCTTTATACTAGATCTTATAATCAGAGTTGGAAGGCCTTTTAATTGAGAACTATTCTTTCCAGCAAAACTCAAGGACCCATGAAAAACATAACTATGGATTACTATTTGCAGCAAAAAAGTTATTTAATTTTGTTAAAGAAAAACAGGTCAAAATTGAGAAATAAAGATATGGGACAAAGGGAGAAATACAGAAACGTTGCCCCAAGCAGCCAGCAGCCGGCTCAGCTGTAGTTCTGAACCTAGATGTGTCTGATTCAGAGCCCAACCACTTTCAACCTTTTAGCCTGGCCTCAAATTTATTTTTTGTTTAAACTCTTTATTATTTTATGTCTCTGAACTATAAATGTTTATATTCTACATGTTGTAACTTTCTGTGAGATACTATGTGATCAGCAAAAAATATATATTTTCTCTGTGAGATATTTGGCCAGATCAAACACAGAAAAATCTTTTTTCATTGCTATACAGGAGTACTAAAACCTGACGTTACTAAAGTATATTTTTATTATTTATTGTTTATGCTATTACAGTTGTTCCTGCTTTTCTCCCTTTTCCCATCTCTATCCAGCCCCTTCCCCTCCCCTCTGTCAATCAATCCCCATAACATTGTCCATAACTGTGGGTCCAAATTTAAATGCACATTTAAACTGATTATATAAGGGGGGGCAAGGTACCAGAGAAGGAAAAAAACATCTAATTTACAATAAAGAGGAGATTGTTGGTGGAGCAATTTCCCTGGAAGAACTAGAGAAACGAGACACCCCAAAGTGGTGGATCTACAGCAAACACTATAAAAGCAAAATGGAAACAGAGAGGCAGCATGTTTCTCGTTTAAACTGCAGAAAGATACAGACTGGGCCCAACTTTTTTAAAGCATAACATAATGTGAATATGTTTCCAAATATTTTTAAAGCCTTTTATACATATATAAGTGTGTACCACATATAAAGAAGAATAAATATAAATAAGAAAAGATGGACTAAATTTGATAATGTCTTTATCAGAAAGAGTTTTGGAACTTAAAAGAAAAGTATCCTTTGAGGAATAATGTAAAAAATGAAGTTTACATTCAGAGAAGAAAAAGAAAATTGTATCAAAATTATATTAAAAATTTATGAATGCCAAAATATTACCATGTTTTCCAGGAAGAAGAATATGGCTTTTCATGTATTAACCAGTAGCATACTGTTTTCCAGGAACCCTCCATTCAGAAGAAATGCTGTGGCGCCTCCTTCTATCCATCCAAAGCAGAACACAAGAGACTACATAGCTGAAGAAATTACAGCCTTCTTACAATGAGAGGCATTAAAATCTAAATAGTTTCCAGCTGAAGGGAAATAACCAACAGCTCCTCCACAGTGTAGACTGGAACAGGGAAAACATGAACATCACTAACTGTACTGCAGAAGCCAGTGTGGCTGTGAGAGCCAAGACCATCACTGAGAAGATGCTCATTTCCATGACTCTCGTGATCATCACCACCCTGACCATGTTGCTAAACTTGGCTGTGATTATGGCCATCTGCACCACCAAGAAGCTTCACCAACCTGCCAACTACCTGATCTGTTCTCTGGCCGTGACAGACCTCCTGGTGGCAGTGCTAGTCATGCCCTTGAGCATCATGTACATTGTCATGGACAGCTGGAAGCTAGGGTACTTTATCTGTGAGGTGTGGCTGAGCGTGGACATGACCTGCTGCACCTGCTCCATCCTCCATCTCTGTGTGATTGCCCTGGACAGGTACTGGGCCATCACCAATGCTATTGAATATGCCAGGAAGAGGACCGTCAAGAGGGCAGGACTGATGATCCTCACAGTCTGGACTATCTCCATCTTTATCTCCATGCCCCCTCTGTTCTGGAGGAGCCACCGGCAACCCAGCCCGCCCCCTAGTCAGTGTGTCATCCAGCATGACCACGTCATCTACACCATTTACTCCACTCTTGGGGCATTTTATATTCCCCTGACTTTGATACTGATTCTCTATTACCGGATTTACCACGCAGCCAAGAGCCTTTACCAGAAAAGAGGGTCAAGCCGGCACTTAAGCAACAGAAGCACAGATAGCCAAAATTCATTTGCAAATTGTAAATTCACACAGACTTTTTGTGTGTCTGACTTCTCCACCTCAGACCCTACCACAGAGTTTGAAAAGATCCATACGTCCATCAGGATCCCTCCCTTTGACGGTGACCTGGATCACCCAGGGGAACGCCAGCAGATCTCTAGTACCAGGGAGCGCAAGGCAGCACGCATCCTGGGCCTGATTTTGGGTGCATTCATTTTGTCCTGGCTGCCATTTTTCATCAAAGAGCTGATTGTAGGTCTGAGCATCTATACCGTGTCCTCTGAAGTGGCTGATTTTTTGACATGGCTCGGTTATGTTAATTCTCTGATCAACCCTCTGCTCTATACAAGTTTTAATGATGACTTTAAGCTGGCTTTTAAAAAGCTCATTAGGTGCCGAGAACATACTTAGATTGTAAAAAACCAAAAGGCATGATTTTGACCAGCCTGATGAATGGAAATGGGTAAGGGGTGCAACATCTTAATTCTGGAACATAATTGGTTCAGGAGAGTTTATAAGTATGTGTGGTCTTGTTTTTTTGTTTGTTTGTTTGTTCTGTTCTGTTTGAGGCTTGTTATTTGATGTGCTGTTTGCTACTTCTGGTCTTGTTTGTGGTACACAATTTCAAATAAACATTGTCATGCAAAAACAGATATTTCATAGAAATAATAATAGGTAAACTAGTAAATACTTTTTATTATTTTGGCCATTTCAGTTAACCCTACAATTAAAGAGTGCCAAAATAAATCTTCATTTACAGAATTTCTTATTACTTACAAATCAAATGTCTGGTAACTTACCCTCATGTGGCATTAAATTTGAGGTTGCAGCTCCATCCAAACACTTACAAATTCCAGGGGGTGTTGTGTGACTACATAAAGCATTAAAAAAGTGGTGTGCTGCCATCTACTGCTTGCGGATGTGAGCTAAAATCATTTACTGGGACTACATAGCTCACTCCTTTCAGGTGCAAACAGTACAGGTGGCATGCCTTTTCTGTTCACGATGACATAAGCTTCCTCATTCCCTGAGAAGAATCTGGAATGAATACACTGACTGTCTTTACAGACTGTCTTTAAAACACTTTAAAGACAGTTTAAAGTGGCACTTTAAACTGGCATTTTCCTAGGCACTTTCCTAGGTCTGTGATTATGAATATGAAACATAAGCAAATAAGAAATAACCTAAACTTAACTGTGGTCAATGTGTTGCTACATTACCTGAAAGACACGTGGGGTCTCCTCCCATTCTAAGAAGTGTCCCAGCTAAGCCTCAAACACACTCTCTCACTCTAGCAGGATTAAGGTGAGAGTACATGTCAAATTTGAAGAACTTTTAAAGCAGCTAAATGGGGCACAGTGATTAAATAAAGAAATACATTACCTGAAGAACTTTGTTGGAGAATGTTACTTGTTAAGTTACCAACTGTGAAATTGAAAAAGAAAATTAAAAGCTGAAAATCTATGTTTATAACAAAGGCCACCCATCAGGAAATGGGCATGGAACTGTGTCTCCTGGAATCTCTGTAGCACCCAGGCACTGGGGCCAGGAGGCTGCAGGTAGGACCTGAGGCCATACTGTGGCCTGACTCAGCCTCCACTGGCCAGGAGTGACCACTGTAAGTGACGTGGAGGAGATCACCACTAAATCAAGAGTGACAACAGAAAGGACTGAAAGTTTGTAAATGTTTGTATATTCCGAAGGAAATGACCGTTTTAAACCTCTGCTCCTTATTTTTCACTCACAGCTCCTCCTCATCTCTTCAGTTGCCACAGATTATTTCTTCTCTTGGTTTACTGAGAAGACACTGATTTGCCCCCTCTCCACCTCCGTGTCTTAGCCATTAAGTCTATCCCCCCCCTCATCTTTTCTTGCTCCTTTCTTCTCTCTCTCTCTCTTTACCCCTTTCTTTCTCCCTCCTACCCCTTCTTCCTCTACCCAATCTTCTTTAATCTAACCTATTAACTTCCTCGAGTCTCGTGGACGCTAGAGTAAACTCCCTGTGGCCCAACTTCCCCCTCAAGCTCCTGCTTCATCTCTCTCCTAAATCTTCCACCTGAGTTTCTCCAATCATTAATCCACTTGTCCTGCTCCACTTCCAATAAATTTTCGGTTCTATGCCATCTGAGTATGCCTCTCACAGCGCTTTCAAAACAGATCTCCCAAAGTCATCAGTGACTTGCCAATAAGCAATTCTAGTAGTCTTCCTCCGAGCTTATCTACTTCCCATCCTCTCACCGATTGAAAGAGCGAGCCATCCCTTTCTTGTTGAAGCTTATGCCTTCCAGGATATTTTACTGTCCTGGTTCTCCTACTACCTCCTCATTCTTTCTCTTCCTTTTCGAGGCTTTTTCCTCAGCTCTCACCTCCTGTGCATTTGTGCTCCATCCCAACCTTCGTCATTTCAACCATTAGTTCTGTGCCTGTGGCTCTTCAATGTGTGTCTTTGATTCGGATTCCTCTCTTTCTCACAGTCCAGATCCATGAATTAGGTCTGGTGACTATCTCCCTATAACGACTCAGTCAGTGCCTCAAATACAGTCTCTCTAAACTGAACTCATACTCATTACCCACACTCAGACCTCCTCCCTCCACCTGCTCAGTCTCAGATAACAGGTCTACCATGCTTTTTATCACTCATATTAGATAAATATGATTCTTTCTCTTTGTCTCTCACATTCGGATAGTCTTCGCTTCTTGTCCATTTACCTCTAAAGAAATGTTTGGTAAACATTTTGGTATATTTTCTATACCCTGTTCTTGTCAAATATTTTGGTTCTCTTGCCTGGACTAATCTTTTTATCTGATCCACCTACCTGTGGACTCAACCTGCAACTCTGTTCCTATACACCTGCCAGATATATCTTCCTAGAACAGTTGTTCTCCGAGTGGCATCTTCAGACCATCAGTATTAGCACCACCAGAGAATTTGTTAAAAACGCAAAGTCTAGGACCCCACCGCAGACCTACTGCATCAGAAGTTCTGAGAGCTGAGAGTGGGGTGCCCCATCAATTTGTTTCAACAAACCCTCCAGGAGATTCTGGTGCACACTAAAGTTTAAGAATCACTATCCTAGTGTGTGCCATTGATTTTTAATTGTAGTATTCAAAATCTACTATTTTCCCATCAGTATAAAATGAATGTAGAGTCCTTAGCATACTATTCAAGGCTCCTTTACTATGTAGCCTCAAACTCCAGACATGTCTAGATATTTCCTTATTTGCTGAACTCCCCTAATATTTGCTCCCACTGCTTCAGAAACCTGCCCCTATGACTTCCCGCCTTCTTCCACAAATCCTTCATCATGTAATTCAATGCAATCTCCTCTGTCAAGTCTTCCTGAGATTCTCCTCTCTCCTTGTGACTGTGGAAGTCCCCTCTCCCTGCTCTCTGCTCCCACACAACCTCATTGTGTCTCTGTCACTCTATATGTCCTATCCTGTAGTGCATTTGTTTGTGTGTTTCTGCTGTATTCCCTAGTAGATTGTGAGCTCCTTGAGGGCAGAAACTGTGTCTGTTTCCTCTCTGTATCCCAGGGACTCCTACTCTGTGTTACACACAGTAGGCACTCAATAAATGTCTGTTAATGTGAAAATTATGTGCCTGCAATAGAAAAACATAAGTGTGCCATCTTCTCTCGGTGAGAAAACCAAACTTCTAAAATCTCATGGTATGATACTGACTTCCTTTTCCCCCAAATTCCCAGCTTTCCACCACCCCAAAAATGTAAAGAAATGTTTTCACATGGAAAAGAAATGGACTTTTCTTTGAATATAAATGAATGTCCTATATTTGTTAAGATTCAGACTAAGCTACTGTTAAAGAAGAGATCCCCAGATAAGGAGCTCAAACCAGATAGTTTCTATCTCTTTCACATGAGACTCAAGAGGTAGGAGGACATCCCAGAGTGAGTAGGAGACTCTGTTCCATGAAGCCATTCAAGGTCTTGAGTTCCTTCCATCTGCGGTTTTGCCTTCCCTCAGCACTCCCCATGACACCCACATTCCAGTCCATAGGAAGGGAGAAGAGTAGAGAGCAAACAATTCACTTTTAAAGAGGTTGTACACATCACTTCTGCTGGTATTCTACTGGCAATAGCTTGCTCACCTGACCACATCGAGTTGTAAGAAAAACTAGGAAAGTAATGCTCTAGCTAGGCGGCCATGTGCCTTGCCAAAAATGAGAGCCTTATAACAAAAGGAAAAAGGAGAGGATGGAAGGGAACAATGAACAGTCTCTGCCACAAGTGGATATTGGTTTCTGCCTGTGCTGTTCAGATAGTACTGAGCAAGTCAAATGATTGCCCAGCTGGTGGTGATCTAGGTATAAGGATGTTGAGATTTAAACTGCAGGGGATTTGACCGAGATTGTGCATTGGCTGAAAACCCAGTATTTATCATGATGATAATATCTAGAATTTACATCAGGAATTACTTGCTTTTCCATCACCCTCCACATATTATCTTGGCAATTATAAGAGTTTTAAAATAAAAATAAGAAGGAGATGCATAACTAATTTTCACTTATGGCCTCTTTCCAATTTACTAGGTAATTCCCAATCAAAGCCATTTCTCTCACACCTATCTCTGCCTTTAACAAAGAAGAATCTATATAGGTTTATTTTATTAATCAAACCTAATGAAAAAATCTGTTGTTTGGCTTACTCATTTAACCAGTGGTGCCAGCTGCTACTGACCGGTATAGCCCCCTTGAGAGAAGTAACAGAACTGCCTGATATGGTCAGTTCTTCCAGTGTAAACATTAGCCGATTAAAACTAAACCCCAGAGGTGAAATTTCCATTACCTGCATTAACTAACAAATTAGGACTTCATGGTTTGTATACTTAGTGAAAGAATTCTTGGACATAAGTCATGCCCTTGGAAACCTGGTAGATGCTTTGATTTTAATTGGTGGCAATAAGAAGCCCTATTAGTATTGCTGCAATTACCTGCTTTGGATAACTGTATGGGTCTCCTATACATAATGAACTTCAGTTTGCAAACTCGGATAATTATACACAAGGTAAGTTCCCAAGCAAGGTACAATGACTGTGCTGGTCACCAGTACAAGGCATTTTAGTTTCAACCATCACACTGGTCTTAGTGTGCTAATGTGTGTTTGCTTAGTTTTTAAGGTCTTCTACAACAAATTTAAACTTCAGTACAGAAAGCATTTGCAAAAGCAAGTGACAGCATCAGAAAAATTACTGAAAGGAAGTTTATGACCACAATAGAAATACAAGTAAAGATGATTTTTAATTAAAAATTCTGAGAAATATGGCAACCACTGTATATAAGGAATATAATCACATTTCAGTTTTCAAAGGCTACCATACACTACATGTGAAAAGGTACTCTGCCAAATTATCAACTATAATTAGCAGGAAATAAGGAAAAATTATTAATGAGATGGGAAAATGTCTGATCATTACATTGTGGGCATGTTTAGTTATCCCAATAGAG